TCGTTCGTGGGTGGATTCTCCATCGGGGGCCATCGGAGTTTGTACAATTGAAATATCCGCATGCTGAGATTATTAATGCGCGAAACAATACATTCAGAAACAAAACGGATTTCTGGGTGTCTCTCTTACCGTCACTAATCATTGTCATTGTCCTTTAATTCTTTCTAATAAAATTGACAAACTTACAATTCAAATTACATAAAAATGTCACTTTACAAAGGTTTTTTGTTTAATTAATCAAGCGATTAAATTTCACTTTTTCTTTATTGCTAATTTTATATCACTTTTTTACTTTTTTATATATTTTTAACAAATTTAATTTTTTATGCTGAGATGTAACAAAATAAATATTTTATTGTTATGCAAAGATACAAAAGATGCTAAATTGTAAAAAAAGGCTTCCAGTTTACATGCATATTTATTGAACGATTAATACAATGAAGAGTATTATAGATGAAACGAATCGATAGGAATGTAAAAACATGCATCAGTGTTTCCATTTACATGGCACGTGGTATTTTATTATTGCGAGAGTTTTCAATACTATGATCAATGCCCGACATGCCACGTCTGTCAACACGATTAGGAAGAACCTGAGGGCGAATTCAGGGAATTACCGACCGACAACGGTGTGGCGTGGCGCGTTCTCCAGATGCTAGTCATGGCAGTGTAAACGTAACCGATAATCATCAATCTGCAAATGAATGCAATGATAGCTTTGAAGCCTCTCTTCTTCCAATGCAATATCAGGGCAATCATGAAATGAGAATCCATCAAGCTCGTGGTATACATTGATTAAATTTTTCATCAATGCTATATCATTTTCATAATTGAACTTATATTCTCTTTCTGGAAAATTCAAATATTAATAATTGAGTATAACTGTGCTATATAAAATCAATTTTAGAAATTAGTTTTTCAATTGCGATTTATTTGAAAAATGGAAGCTGATTCCACATTACGAAAATTTGCGACTTAATTTTCAAAAGACGCAACATTTTGAAAATTTATTCAATTCTTTCCAAACAGTATGCGATTATAATTTATTTTATCAATAAGCTAAATGTATTAACAAAATCGTATATGTATGTCGATTTTTTTATCGTTCAGATTTTGTTGAGTATAATCATTCTAACTAATACCGTTATATAACAATTGCACGTTACGAATTGAAAATTATGAGATTCATCGAAGTGTTAATGTGCATATTCCAGATGATATCGCTAACGCTTCTGGAAGTGTGCAAAATCATAAGGACATCCACGTAGCAATTCGCTTCCTGTTTGTAGTTATCGCGAAACTTTGCGTCTTCCCTTTGGCGATTATGAAGAGATATATTCCCATCAACATGTCGGACATTGTAAAAGGATTACGTGACTCTTTGCCGCCTTATGATTTATAGGGAGCCTAACATTAATATGCCCGATCGATCATCGTGTTGCGCTTTGTTATGAACTGCAACGATGATAACTCGCGTGCACTTCGTGCTTCGATACATACTACGAATCATTTGAATAGGGATTATTTATGTCGTCGTTATCTCATGTCTATGTAACGGTCTTATGTATATGAAATCCAAAGCAGTATGCAATTTATGACCAGCTAAGCTTTTTAGATTTCTACAAAAATTTCAGTGAGCTCGAAACATGCATATTATGTTATTGAAAATACGATTGAATATTAATCGTATCAAGAATCATCAAATATGGAAAACAGAAATTATTTGTATCTTGTTCTTATATTCTTACATAATAATTTTTACCGTTAGTTATTTTATTTTGTAATATATATACTAATGCCTTTATGTTTTTTTATATTTTATGCAGATTTATTAATCAGTGCAAAATGATTCAGAACAGGATATAAAAAAATTGAACTGATTGTATTAATAACAATAGTATTTTTTTGTACGATTAATTAGATTATGCAAATATTATGCAAACAAACATTTTACGTTTGTGCATCAATTAATAAGATGCAATTACGATTAAAATACAGTCATAAGCAAAAATTAAATCGAAGTCTTTGATGCACTATCTGTCAACGAGTGGAAACAATCGTGATAGCTGTTGAAGCGAAAAAAAAAGAAATCGATGACATATTATTTCTTTGTACATCACTCACTTTGTATACTCTTCATGTTCTATCAGTATCGATTAAATGAAAAAAAAGTTGTCTGTAGAAATAAGAAATGCAACTTACAAAAAACGGAGATCATTCAGCAGATTAAAGAGCGTTGTTGATAACTCGGAAACAGGATTGCAACCGTATTTTCCTCAATTCATAGGCCTAAAAAAGTCGTCCTAAAAACGTCATAAAAAAGACATCTTAAAGACTCTTAAATTTTTTATTTCGCGTTTATCCATATTTTTCAATAAACCGTGTTTATCTCGCGTTTATCCATTCTGAATAAGGAATTTGGAAGGGCGAAATTATACAAGGCGCTTTGCCGGAGTTACAAACCTTATTTTCAAAACACATTCCAGTTTGCATACGTACAAGCTTAAATTATAATTAAAACCGGTTGCTCTCGCGTACGTGACGTTTCCGTAGCTCACTTTCGCGAACGGATCTTTAGTAGTAAATAGATAGCAAACAGATTTTAAACACGTATCTGAGCGTTCAGCAGTAAGGCTGATTATCGCGTAAATTGAATTACAATATGAATATTTGTATATTTATAGCTTTGACACATTGTTCATAGATTGACAAAACACGTTTGACGGTATCATGATTATCTCGTTGTATGCCAAGTTATTGGAACAAGATTATTTTAATGTTTATTGATACTGCAATAGATTGATTCATTAAATACATTAGACAGTGCAAAGTTTATTATTAATTGCATTGAAGTGATAATATTTTTATCAATATCTATAATGTGGTGTGGTGATGGATATCCATATTTTATCTGATAAATCTGTTAATACTTAAGCTTGGGATAGATACGGAAGTTGAAAATTTGTTTAAAAATGAATACGGCAAAAATATTATTAAGCGCTGTATTTGATTATGTATTGTGATTTATAATGTGATGGGGTAATGTTAAAAATAAAAATCATAAAAATATCTTAAAAGAAAATTGATCGCGCGACTTGACATAATGATATTGTTTGTGTGATGCATTTTTTTTTCGCCCATATGTGGATGCAACAATCGCAGACGAAGAGTACCGTTATAAAATCGAGTCACGTCAACATTTATACATACTCGACAAGTTACTGCAAATTTCGGAACGCGCGCTCGCCGATGTTACTTGTGCTATTGTTCTCTATACTCCTGAATCATCGTTGCGCCGTTAGCTCGCATGAATCTTATTAAGAATGACAGTAATCGCTTCCGTAATCTACTTACGCACGTACAGTGATTTCAAAGCGGGGCATCCGGCGAACAAATCTTCCGTTATTGACTCGAAGCGGTTTTCACAACCAAGATTCTACAATGCAATTAAAAAAAATGGAATATACGTATATTTATTTTTTATTTTGCACTACTGATTTATACTTCTATCAATGCCGGCAGTTGTGGCAGCTTCAAAGCTCATATTGTCAATATATTCTTATTCAGATTTTCAAAGATATTCTATATTGATTATTATATAGATATTATAAAATAATATGAACGAATATTACTGATGCAATTGCGTTTCAAAAACGCTACGTCGTTAATTGTTGACAGTTCTTTTTGTAAATATATTTTGTAAAGAAAATGTGTTATAGAGTGAAAATATAGATAGTTAATTTCTTTTAAAAGAAAAACAATATAGATAAACGTCTACAATTATCTATAATTTTGCTGCAATTTATTTTGATCTGATTGCATTATAGAATTTACATATCAGTCTCCTTTCAAGTTATTGCGAAATTACCGTATGTATCGAGGAAATAATCTATAAACGGATCCATATTTTTATTATAACTTTTCTTCAGACTGTTCTTTAGACTATTGCACTGATTATTAATAATAAATAGCATGCTTATCATTCATTAGAATTACTTGATCACACAATTTTATCTTTTATGAATCACGTCTCTAAAATTTAATATCATAATACAAACAGTACATAGGTAAATAGAGCGGAAGATTTCATACAATAATGTTAAATAAATATAAGTTAAATATAAAATATATATGCAATATTAAATAGAAAATAAGTTATAACAAATTAATAGATTAAAACCGTTTATATTATTTTTCGACTAACACAATATAAGATAATTTCGTGCTTTGTGATAATTTACATTATTAAGTACATAGTAATTTTATTTTTAGGTCAGAAAAATTTACTATAATAATTTTACTTTGATTCAGTCTCAGGGTTTCTAATTTATCCAGTCCCGTTAAATGTCCAAGCTGTATTTCTATTGTTTGTGCGAACACTGTAGAGAGAAACGGGTTTCATACGGATGTTTTCCAAAGAATTATGAATTTTTTAAGGCTAGCATAAAATTTTGCAATTTTGTCTGCCAATTTCATGAAAAAATGTATTTCTAACATTTTTATGAATTATGTAATATGAAAATAGAATAATATAAATACATTTAAGAAAATGCGTGGAATATTTTAAAAGTTTATATATTTTTTAGAAAATATGCAAGTATATAGAACTATGAACTAAGAATTATCAAATATGAAAGTATATAGAAAATAAAAGAATGATGAAATATTGTATATACATGCCGGTATGTTGATGAAGTACGTGTATTCACGAAATCTGTGTAGAGGTCAGAGTCGAAGATTTTTATGAAAACCCTAGGTTTTAATTCTAGTATATTTATCTTATTTGGTTGGTATGCACATTTATTTTTTGTGTTGTGGCGACACTTGGCAGCATGGGATGTCAAACATAACCAAATATTTACAGTCAATTTTGATACCGTTGTGTGATATAGAAAATTAAATGATTTAAATAACTGTTATTAATTATAAAAATTTATAAAGTCAAAATTATTAAAATATATATCACTTATATATAAGTAAAATGTACAATATTTTTATAGTGTTATGAATAATGAGGTTCAACAACAGAAATTTAATCAGAACGTCGTTGTTCTATTTTCTGAAAAAGAAAGAATTTCAAAACATTTTGATGAAAAATCTGGGCTTAAATTCCACCGATGTTGAAGAAATTCTCGATGTGAATAAAAATATCCTTAATCTTTCTCGTCATCGAATAATAAAGAATTGCATGACATTTGAGGTAATGTATACAAATATAATTTATAAATATTTATTAATTTTAATATATATATATATATGTAGTTAAAAATGTAATTTATCATCTGTAACTTATTTGTTCTAAGAATCAGTAGTATTACGATCAATAATTTTATTTTTTCTTATTTATTTATAATATAATTAATAGAATCTAAAAGTAAAAAACAATTGTTAATTACAGCTGCAATTAGATGTTGTAATAAATAACAATAAATTATTGATAATTAAGTCATTTTAGAAGAGATATTATTCTTCTAAAAATAAAATTGTTATTTTTTAGAAATATAAGAAAAAGTTGATGTAAAAAATATGCTTTTGTACTTTTTAAATTAAAATTTTTGTTAAATAGATGTAATTTTTCCTTACTTTTTTTTATAGAATATAATAATAATAATATTTTATTTGTTTTAGAAATATAATGTTAACGTAAAACCTCTGATAAATTTTCCATATTGCCTGAAAATGAAAGAATTCTATCTGGAACATAGAATTAATGTACTCAAGGATATAGGAGTGTCAGAATTGAACTCGTTTTTAGTGGGAAAGTAAGTTATTTACATATTAATTATATTCTATCAAATGCACGAATATTTTTTAATAATCTTTGTGATTTCAGATTATATACTTTGTCAAATAAACATGTGTCCATATTCAAAAAGAAGATCAATTTACCAATTGAACAGAACATTGCTAAAAATATATTTGGTAGACTCGGTGAGGAAGTTCCAAATGAAATCTCTCAATTGGAATCAAGTGATGAATTAACAATGAATCAATATTATAAGGCATGTCTTCTGTATTGCAAAAACCGAATATTTGATCTGCCTTATTTGGATGACAAGGTACTGTTGCACAGTTTGAACACACACTTTAAAAGTATAAGCATGATTGCTGAAACATTGAAAGTACTCAGAATAGATCTTGACTATGATGAAAAAATGGTAAGTCTAGATTTATTTTATAAATTAACTTTTTTCTCTTGAATAAAGTGCATTTTGCTCATCAAATTGAGATAATAAATACAAATATTTGAAGATTATATTTTACTTACGTGAAAAATATTTACACAAGTTTATTGTTTGAGTACAGATAAAAATGAATCCCTATATCATTAACGCTTCCGCCGACAATATTAGGATGCTGTTGAATAACTTTACAGACATTTACGGGATACCGATTTCAACACTTTTAAGGAAACATCCTTATATGCTCTTTCAAGATGCAGATAATATAAAGCGTTTACTAGCATCATTAAAACGATATAAGATTCCAGATGAATATGTGAAAAAATATATGAAATTTCTTAAAATGGATAATTACACATTTCTTGAACGAATAGAAAGGTTGAAACAGCATCCTGACGTAAACTTACGTATATGGTATATGTATCCACGAATCCTGAAAATTTTGGAACACGTAAATATGATGGATCATCGTATAAAATATCTTCATTTTATGAATTGTGCAAAATGGGCTGTTCCTCATACGGTTTTATCTACAAAATCTATAATAGATAGGTGAGAGTTTGCAATTCGTGAGTATAGCTGATATATTAACGTAAATTAAATTATTATTTAATAGATGTATATATTTTTTTTTTAATTCTAGATTTGTGCAAAACGACTCCAACATAATTATAAGCAAGAAACCTGTGAAATACATATTGAAGATGGAATTGGGAATGGACATTTGCGATCAATTGTGCAGACATCAGCACTGGAAAACTGTTACATTAGTTGACATTCAGAAAATGTTAAAGTATCTGAAAAGACACTTTACAATAAGCGAAATACGCCAGAATATACATATTATACTTTATGCACAGTAATGACCATATTTAATTTATTCAAAATAAATGTATAATTTAACAATAATTATTTGAAATTTATATATATTTTAAACTCTTATTTATAATTTTTTATGTGCTAATCTTTGAGTTTTTTAATTAATGTTTACTATATAGAATATATAATTAGAATATAGAATTAAAGACTAACCAAATTGCTTCTTATTTTTAGATCCAGAGTAGAGAAAATACTAGCTGATTTGAAACAGCAATATTCTGAGAGTACGCAGTATTCATTTACTAATGGCCAATATCTCGCATTATGTTTGTATATATTGGAGAAAGATACTCATTTCACGGGAGACGGCATTTGGAACAACGGACACAATGCGGAACAAAAGTTTTCGCATCCTTTGAAAGATGAAAGTGTTGCAGAAAGAATTGATAATGATGACATCAATAACAATTTGAACATCAAAGATGATGATGATGATCATAATCATTTTGACGACAGGAATGAGACATCCAGTGTGACAAAATAACAATATACATAATGTATATAGACCTTTTTACGTACAAAGTATTTTACAGAAAATTACATTTTTACAAAAAAACACAATTTCATATTTGTAATATATGTGACCTGTAAAAATGACAAAACATAATATGTATAGTACATATATAGTATAT